TGAAAAATACCCTAAGCGACTTATCAGTAGAATGAACCCAGAAGCATTTTAAAGCACAATTGAGTCTGACCCAGTGGGATTTATTCCAGAAACATGAGGATGATTAAGCTCAGGGAAGCTAATAAGTCAACACATTAATAGGTCCAAGGAGGAAAGGAATTTGATGATCTTGCTAGATATAGGGAGGCTTTCAATGAAATTTAATATCCATTCTCGGTGTACACTCTTGGCAATTAATGAAAGAGAAGAGCATCCTGTTCATGATAAAGAATATCTATTGAAATTCAGAGCCAATTTCAGACTTACTAAAACATTTGAGGCCTTCTCATTAAAATGAAGATCAAGCCAAGGACAACTGCCATTATTTAATGTTGTTTTGCCCCTTTCAGAAAACACAATAAGATAAGAAAATAAATAAAAGATACATTAGAAATGAAGAGCTAGAATGTTCCTTATATGCAGATAATCTGATTAATTTCTTAGGCTTTCTAGGAAGCCAAACTGAAAATCTGTTCAAACTAGTAAGAGAGAGTTCACTTATCAATTAATTTAACATACATTTTAAAAAAATGAATAGGTTACCTATCTACCTCGCCTAGGTACAGGTGTCCCTGTCCCCAAAGATATCCCCACTCAGTCTATGTGGAGTAGGGGCTGTGATGCTCACTCCAGCGGCAGCAATAGGGAGAGGTGTGTGAGCCCGTGCCCTGGGACCTCCCAGCTCTGCAGGCGTCCCAGCCTTTGGCCAGGGACACAGTGTCCACGCAGGTCAGCCACCCCGGCCAGCCACCTGGCCCACAGCACGCTTTGCTGACCACACATCTGTGACCCCATTTGCGCCCTCTGGGCTGGGCACTGCCAGTTTCCTCCTCTGGGAACCTGCCAGCCTCTTCTAAGGATGTTGCTCATGGCCCTGGGGCTCACAGGAAGGCCAGGCTCTGGGATCAGTTAGCTCCAGGATGAAGGTCAGCTCCGCAGCCTTTGACCTCGGAGACTGGGTTTCCACTTGTCTTACTGGCACAGCAACCTCTTAAGGGTTAAGGGAGACCCAGAAGCTGGCCCCCGGGTCCTCTGACTCACACTCGCCAGCCCCACCCCTCAGACAGGGGGCGGCTGGTGGGGCAGCCACACTGACATTTGGGAAATGCCGTGGGCTTGGCCCCAGTCAGGCAGGCGGGTGAGAGCAGGTCAGTCAGGGCGGGATTATTCCACTGGAGGCTGAGGGGCAGGGCGGTGGGCTGGCCAGAGAAACCCCACCAGTGACAGGAGGCCACAGGGCCAGAGCCCTTGCAAGCCGCAGGACTTCTGAGGGGAGAGGCCGAAGAACCCCAGTAAAGGTCCCTGGCTGCCCTCCTTCTCCTGAGACCCTGAAACCCTGATGCCTTCATGCATATGCTCCCACCTGACCACTCACCCCAGGGCCCCTCAACCTGTCTACCTCTGGGATCCCCCTGTCCTGGAACCCTCAGGGACCCAGCCAGCCCAGAACCTGGCAAGGTGGAGGCATCCTGGTCTGGGAGCCAGTTCTGCCCCTGAGCTCCTAGCTGAACTCAAGTAAGCCAGGCTACTGCGGGCCTCAGTGTCCCCATGTGTAAAACAAGGAGGTAGAACTAAGCAGTCTCCACGGGCCATTTCAGTCCTTGTATTTGTTCCTTCCTTCCTTCCTTCCTTCCCTCACTTAGTCAACCAACATCCATGAGGACTTACAGATCTGTGCTGCACACTTGGAGATGGAAGAACCATGGACCTCGGTATCTGCCAGGGCAGACGGATATAACACCACAGTGCAGCGTGAGCAGCTCAGGACCAGAGTCTGTGCTGAATACTGAGGAAGCACAGGGTGGGGGACTAACTCTGTAGGAAGACGTCAGGGAGGGCTTCCTGGAAGAGGTGATTTTGAGGTGGGCTTCCAACGATGACCAGGGGTTTTCCAGTACATTAGGAGAAGGAAGAGCAAGGAGACAGAACTGGTCTCCCGGCTGACACAGCAGTCCTGACAGACCCAGCCCTCTCCAGGTCACTCACCAGCGGCTACTCTGGAGGATGAGGCCCCAGAAGCCCAGAGGTATGGAAGGTACAGGCAGCTTCCACAGGTACCAGCTCCAACATAGGCCACGTCATTCCTGGTTCAAACCCTACCTCTTCCAAAGCAACATGTGACTCTCTCCCCCAAGCAGCCCTCCATACTGCCTGGCCCTTAAAGACTGTACCACTGTGGTCCTGTGCTTAGTAGGTACAGGACCTGCAGCCAGTGCTGTGTCCCCAGTACTCCTGCCCTTGGCCAGTCCCAGATGCACACGGCAGCCAGGTCAACACAAGATTCTGCAGCTCCCGAAGCCCACCTCGCTGCCCCTGGCGAAGCTCACACAAAGGGCCCCCGCCCCAGTGGGCAGAACCAGCAAGATGGTGGTGTGGGGCCTGGGGCAGGCTGGGCCCAGGGCCAGCAGACACAGGTGTAGGTAGTGGGCCAGGAGGCAGCAAGGGGCCCACAGGATAGGACAAGCTGGGGCTCCAAATTGGCACTCCATGCCAGACCTCTCCCCAAGCTCCAGCCTGCCCACCCACTGCTGGGCGACATCTCCCCAGGGGATGCCAAGCTGTTTCTGCCTCCTGCCCACCCCTCACTGTTCCACCTGCATCCTTTCCCACCTTTTACTGAGGGCAATGTCCTCCTTCCTGGCGTCAGCCTGCCTCTCTCTGTCCCCAGCACCACATCTTGGCCCTCAGCAAGGTCTCTTGCTTTACTTCAGAGCGTGTCTGGATCGGCCCCTCTCTTCTGCACCGCTGCCTCCCCGATCCGAGCCCCCGGGCCCCGGTGCTGGCCCCACCTCCTCTCCCTCTTGCCCGCTCTGCTCCTGACATCCAGCCTCCAGTCTGGCCTCTGGACACAGAGGTGGCTTCCTGTTCAAAGGCCTGCCTAGCGTTTTCCTGGTGTGCCCCTCCACTCCCATGCCACTTACCTCCCTTCTGCCTCTAGCAGCTCCTCACGTGTGCAGCCACACATGCTGAGGTCTCCCCTAACTGCCTATCCCAGGCACCAACAGCACCCCCATGGTGGTGGTCAGTACACTGGGCCCGACTTGCCAGGTTGAGCAGGATTGTCATTACTGTGATACTGAGGGGGCCATGTGACTCATCTGGCTCAAGAGCAGCAAGCAGAAGTGACAGGTGGGACATGAACATTCTAGGGCAGGAACCTCTCTTCCACTCTGCCATGGAGCCTGTCAGCCTGGGAGCTTGAGTGAAGAAGGCTTGCAGCAGGGTCCAGATTTTTTTTTTTTAAGATTTTTTTTTATTTATTTATTTGACAGAGAGAGACACAGCGAGGGAACACAAGCAGGGGGAGTGGGAGAGGGAGAAGCAGGCCTCCGCGGAGCAGGGAGCCTGATGCGGGGCTCAATCCCAGGACCCTGGGATCATGACCTGAGCCGAAGGCAGACGCTTAACGACTGAGCCACCCAGGTGCCCCAAGAGCAGGGTCTAAATTGCACTGTGCTGTTAAAAGCCACTGGATTTGGGGGGCGGGGTTGTTCTGTTTCTCAGATAACCTGAACTATTCTGACCGACGTACCCTCCATATGTCCTATTCCCCTTTCTTGCTTTACGTTTTCTCTTTATCACTTACCACCATGCAACATTCCACATTGTATTTAATTTTTTTCTAAGTTTTTTTTTTAAAGAAATCTACACCGAACATGGGGCTCAAACCCATGACCCCGAGATCAAGAGTTGCACACTCGTCCAACTGACCCACCCAGGTGCCCCTCATGTTGCATCTATTGATCGTGCTTTTCCCCCAGTCTCACTTGTTAGAAGGTGAACTCCAGGAGGACAGGGACTGTGGTGTTTGGTTCCCCGCTGAAGCCACAGTACCTGCCCACAACAAGCGTTCAATACATGTGTGCTGAATAAGTGATGAATGAGGAAACAAACACATCTTGTGTCTTCGGCACAGCCAGCGCGGGCCAGCTCAGCCGAGGCCTCTTCTGTGCCCCCCGCCCTCACTGCGCCTGAGCTCTCAGGTCTGTGCGGTCAGCTTCATGCTAAGGGGACTGGGAACGGGGACAGCACCCTGTCCCTGAATCACACTGCCAGTCCGTCCCAAAAGGATGCGTTCTAATAAACAGCCATGGAAATGCAACACCCTGCCTCATGCTCCGGATTAAGTCCAGGACATGTTCTCAGTCTCCTTTCCTGCAGAAAGAAAGCTGCCCCTCACCTTGGAGCCCACACTCCTTGAAGCCCCACCCTGGAGCTCACTCTCCTTAAATACACAGGCATTTGTGGGCCCATACGCACAGCCCCGCCCCCACACACACCTCTTCCTCCCTCTCTCCCTCTCTCCCTCACACATACACACCCCATATATAAACATGCCTGCATTTTCACATACTCTCACTCTCGCCCACACATGGCACACACACATACACACCTCCCACGGGCATTTCGTCGCAGACCTCCTCCTCTCCCCCACCTCCTCCGGGCAAACAGGTGGTTCTGTGCCCCTCAAGTCTCGGAAAGGATCCAGGGTCGTCCTGGCTCTAACAAGCCTGACCGCCAGTCCCAGGGCAGCGACCCTCCTCCTGGCCCTGCTGCTGGGGCTGCTGTCTCCTGCCTCCCTGGCCCCGTTCACCCCACAGGGGCCCCTACTAGGTTTGCAGGTGCCCTCCAGCCATAGATGATCACTGGCATCAGCAAGCCAGGCCAGGAAGGGCAGTGGCAGCCTGAGCCATCCACCCATTCTGAGCCCTGGCGCCGCCCACCTGGCAGCAGGTACCCCAGTGGGGACACGCAGAGGGAGTGGTTCCCCAGGGTAGGCTCCTTCGGAGCCGAGAGGGGCCAGAGATGTTCCGGATGGCCAGCACCTCTTCCCGAGCTCTCCGCGGTGCAAGAACCCCCTGCCCGCTGTCTTGCCGCAACCGAGGGGTTGCTCTGCGTGCGCACCCACGTCGCCGCCTCGCGACCCGTCCCCCCGCACCTGCCTCGTGCCGCAGCCCTACCTGGGGCTCCAGAAACATTCTGGCTGCCTGCTCCCCGCGCTGTACCCCTGCGCTGCGGGCGCCCGGCGTGCGGCCGCTCCTCTCCCCGAGTGCGGAGGAAGCTCCCGCCCCCTGACCCCGCCCGAGGGCTTCCCCATGCCCGCTGCCCTCCGGCTAGCTCACAGCCTTTCGTGGGGCGGGGCGGGGCGGGGCGGGGCCGGGCCAGGGGCGGGGCTAGGCCGGGGGAACGCAGGGTCGCGTGGGGCCGAGGGACCGCTGGGTCAAGCCAGAAACGGGGCGGAGCCTGGGCCGGGGCCGGGGCCGGGGGCGGGGGCGGGCGGGGGACGGAGTGGGGCGTCCCGCGGCGGGGCGGGGCGGGGCAGGGGAGGGGGCCCTAGGGGCGGGGCGCCGCTCGGAGGTTGGTGGGGAAGGGACGGGGTGGGGCTCGGCGAGGAGCGCGACGAGGGCAGGGCGCACGGGCCTGGTGCTGGGTTTCGGAGCGCTGGGAGTACAGGGCGGGGGGGCCGTGGCGTCCGTCGGGCGGCCGCACCAGCCGTCGATGCTGGGGGGCGCCTATGTGCCACCGGGCGAAGGGGTGCTCTGTCGGCCGGGACTTAGTGAGGGATGCGAGCACATGTGTTGGTAAGATCCCGCTCGCAGAGAGCCCCGCTGTGACCCCATCTCCTCCCTTTGAGCATCTCTTCCACCTTTGCGACCTCACCTCATCGTAGATATCCACTACTGAGCAGGTGCTTGGCCAGCATTTGGCTTGAACGCTTCTCTTGACGGGGAGCTCACTCTGGTCTCAAGCGTCACACCAATCATTGTTCTTCCATTTCCTTGAGTGAACACTGGGGATACGGCAGCTGCTTTTGTGGGAGGACTCATCTGAGACATGGCGTGGGGCTGTCCTGGCACACATGGCACAATGAGGCAGTATTCCACTCTCAGAAGCCCCAGCACACCGAAGGAACCCTGTCAGGTGACAGATCACCCCCTCCATCGTGTGCCTGCGGCGGGCCCCAACCCAGGCGCTGAGAATTTGGATGGAAAAGATGGACTGAACCAAGAGCACCCTCCCTGGGAGATCTGGAACTGGAGAGCCCAGAGGCTGAGTTGGGAGACCAAGCTAGGGTGGGACTCTGGGCGAGTCACCACTAGAGAGGATCAGGGACATTCTCAGCTTACACATGATAGAGAGGAGGAGGGGATGCCCAGAGAGGCTGAGACAAGCCCAAGAGAGCTCATCAGCAAGCCCTGGGGCAAGATTGGGCAGAGGTGACTCTGTCTGTGTCTACACCAGTCCCAGGATGCCCATCGTATGCCCAGCAGCCTGGTGAGACAGCCATCTCTCCTCCCAGCTACCCCTTCTTGTTTGCCTGCTCTCTTAATTGTCCCAAGATTGGCCACCAGGCTGAGTCCCGTGGACGGTTACTTCTGTCTTGTGTAATTAGGGGCTGTGCAGGGTCCACTCACCCGCCTCCCCCTAGAGGATGCAGGAGTTTAGAAACAGGTGTCTTTCTCTTGGAGCTCTATCCACCACCCCTCACTCTCTCTGCTAGGACTGGAGCCCAGCTCTCACTGCTCCAGCACCTGCACCGTTAACTGCAGCCTCAGGCGGCTCCTGTGGGTGGGCAGTGGGGGCAGGGAGGAGCATCAGGCAGAAATGGCCAGGGCCACAGACCACTGGGGCATCAGCCCTCCAAGCTTTCGCGCTGTCCTTTCCCCCTGCTGCTTCTGCATCTCATTTCAGGCCAGCTGGAGGATACTAAGCTCATGGTGGACTTGGCAGGTGACTTGTGGCACTGGGACTAGCCTGGCTTTTGAGTCCTGGGCCTGTCCAGCCTATCCCTTCAGATAGCTCCAGAGTACCAAGAAGTGTGAGGCCTGGGTTCTTGCCCTGGGGAAGCCTGCCAGGCTCTGTGTGGTCCTCAGCTCTGGCCCACAACCCTGCATGACACCTGGGCCCTAAGGTGGCCACAGTATGGTCTCAGGAAGTCCATGTGGGCAGTTACCACCCCTGCTGCCACCTATACCCAGAGCAAGCCTTCTCCTCTGCTGCTCTAGACGGTCCAGCCCAGAGGAGGTGGCTGAGCTGCCCCACAGCACCTTCCTGTACAGTCACAGAGACTTTTCCCTAGGTGCTCACCCACAGATTTCACCAGCGTCCCCAAGGACCTCAATAAGGTAGATGTTTCGCCAGGAGGAAGGAGGGCCTCTCTGCCCGTTGTCACCACAGTGGGAATGTCCTTGCAGACGCAGATAGCATGCTCTCCTTTGCTCACAGGTGTGACCGCAGCATTTGTGTGTGTATACCCCTCCCGGTGCCCGAAGAGGCAGGGAGATGGGCATGCCGGGGCTGACCCCTGCTGGGCTGTTCTCTTGCTTGAAGCTGGGGGTGGGGGGAGCTGGGTGCAGGGAGTAAGAGCTTGTAGGGAGGACTTGTGGGGACTGACAGAAGAATCTTGTTACCTTGCCAGATTTGGCTTTAGAAAGTGGAGAATGAGCCAGGTGTGGTGTGGGCAGTAGACATCTACATCTACTGGGGGCTCCTGGAAGGACAAGGCACACAGGAAGAGATGCCCAGATGATGGGAGCTGCACATGAGGCCAAGAACAGTGTGTCCATCCCATGACCATGAGAGGACACTCCGAGGATGGCAAAGAGCAGGGAAGCCTGAGTCTGGGATGATGGTGACCCTGGACATCCTCACCAGTGCGTACACCTGGGACAGATGGGACCCTGGGACAGGAGGCTGGACCTACTGCAACAAGCTCCTAACCAGTGTCCCTGCTTCCACCCATGCCTGCTCAAGACAGCGGCCCGCGGCCAAGGGCCTTGTTCAGTCCTGAATCACGCCCCATCCTCCTCTGCCCAGAACCCCCAATGAAATGACAGCCAGAGTCCCAGTGACCTGGCGACCTGACCCCATCGGAGGCCTGCCACCTTCCACTCAGCTCTCGCTCACTCTGTGCCAGCCCCTGCAGGCCTGCCCGCCCTCCCTCCGCCTACTCTGCTCTCCCCGGAGGTCCTGACCGACTTGTCACCTGCTCGGTGACAGATCTACAGTGTTTAACCTCCACTGCGGCACTTCCTCCCCCACTGAACTTTTCTCTTCACTGTTCTGCAGTCCACACATTCCCTCTACCTCCTCGGTAGTCTCCTCTAGGGAGAATTCAAGCTCCCTCCTGTCCCCCCGTGACTGTGACATTCGTGCATGGGGGCACTCGGCACCGATCTGTTGAATAAATGTATGTGTGTGTGTGTGTGTGTGCATGCAGTTACGTGCAGATACAGAGATAGATGGAGGTATCCAGCACGGGCCTCATATCCAGAATATATAAAGAACTCCAACAAATCAAAAGTGTCAAAAGACCCAATTTTGAAAAAATGGGCAAGAGCGTCAAAGAGGCATTTCACAAAAAAGGATCTCCAAAATGGTGATAAATGTAAGAAAAAGGAAATAACACTCAACTTCATTCGTCATCGGGGAAGGGAAATTAAAACCACAGTGTGACACTGCCGAACACCTACCAGAATGGCTAAAATGAAAAGGCAGAAAATGCCAAGTGCCGGTGAGGCTGTGACCCAGGGGAAACTCCGAGCGGCGGGCAGCGGCAGCGAGACTCGGTGAGCCACATGGGAAGCGGGTCCCCGTAGGCATGGGAAAGCAGAGCATGCCCCCGCCCAGGAATTCCTCCTGGGGTGCAGCCCCTCCCAGACATGCTTACAGACTCACCCCAAAAGGCACACCCAGGAGCGTTTATAGCAGCAATATTCTCCACGGCTCCTAACTGGGAAGCAGCCAGCTGCCCTCCACCTGCCCTGCAGTGTACCCACCCAGGGGAACCCCACGGCCATGAGACTGGACAAAGTCAACCACCCCCGAGCACCCATCTCACCGAACCGCGTGCCCCTAAAAAAACCAGGCGCGAAAGAACATCTAATCAGGACCTCATGCACATCAAGCTCCAAGGTGGCTGCTGGGGCTGGTGCCTGTCACCCATGTATTCATCCCATGAAAAAACACCAAGGCTTTACGCTGATGACTTACGCACTTTTCTGGATGTACAGCACACTTCAAAACAGTTTATGTTTTAAAAGTTGAGAAAGAAAAAGATAATGATGCAGGTCAGGCAGAAGCCACCTGAGCTCAGGGACCTTTTGAGTCTGCTGTGGGCCACACCTGAGAGAAGCTGACTCGGGAGAAGGAGCATTTCAGGGACACTGGGGCCTTGGCCTCCCTCTCCTCGTCTGCCCAAGACCAAAGGCCCCTCTAGTGAAAACACCTGCTCCCTTCTTTTAAAAGGTGCAGCCTGCAAGGTGTTGGTTGGAAGATGGAAGGTGGCCTAAATTGGGTTGACTGACCTCGCAGAACAGAGGAAGCAGGAACCCAAGTGCCCCCACAGGGGCTGTTGACAAGGACAGCAAGGACCTTGCAGAGGCTAAGACGGCAGAGGCCTGAGGGGCAGGGGGGAGGCCCGGCTGCCCGGAGGCATGGCTGAAAGTCTGTGTGGCACCTGTGGGACCGCGCAGGAAGGGGGCACTGAGGGCGAGGAGCAGATGACAGCGGGGCTCTGCTTCCTGCACTGACTCCCCGCCCCCTGGGCCCTTCGTCACGCGGAGCAGCTGTGCAGGCAGAGCTCCATCTCCAACCCCTCAGCGTCAGGGGCAAGCCTGGGGCTCTCTGTTACTGTTTCCGGGTAGAAAGCAGAGTTCGTGACACACAACTGTCAGGGTGGCTGGCAAAACACGAAGCAAAACAAACCAAGCACTTCTAGAAACTTCTAGTTCCAAGGGTTCACACTGTCCAGAGGCTATGGCCTCCCCTGGGAGATGGCTTGGGCTGTCTACACTCAGCAACAGTCTACTCAGAAGCCCTTGCTAAGAGCATTTACTAGGAAGCCGTGTGACACAGCGCGGTCTGTGGGCCGGTCAGCTCTCTCAGAGCGGCTCTGTCCCCTGTGGAGCTCATACCCAAGCACGCCCATGAGCTCCACGGCAGCTGTGCCCGGACCCGGGGAGCGGCGAGGAGTGCCAGTTCTCCTCAGGTGCTGATGCTCTCCCCAAGGGACCCGGGCCAAGCAGGCACTATTTAATGTCCACTGGGGAAGCCACACAGGCCTCTGCATCTCCCTACAACTGTCCCATGAACAGTCCCTTCTGG